CCCGGCCCCCCGAGGCGGCCTGGAAAGCCTCGGAGGCTAACGGCCACTTCCGCGCAGGATCCACGGGCAACCGCCGCAAAAAATTGCTGTTCCTGCCTAGTGAGCGGTCCGCAAGCCTTGCAGGGGTGGGGTTTTCCTGTGGGGGTGCGGCTTGGGCCTTTTCTTTGCTTTTATAGCAGTTTCTGATGCGCTTTTAATCTTTATATAGCCGCAGTAAGAGAGGAGTGGAAAGACAAACGGGCAAAGAGCGTAACCTTGGCTTTCTGACGTTTTGCGTTTTGGATGTGCGCTGTCCTGTTGAGCGTCCCACTCCTACACACACTCCAAAATGAGCGGTTTCCTCTAAACTCTAGTAAAAGGCACAGCATCACGCACGAAAAGCTCACGGTGTGTAGCAGGTTGTGACCTGGTTTTGCTCTTTCCTATCGTGGGCGAGTACAAAACTCTGCTCTAGGCTGTACGTACCTGTGGCAGCCCTTCCAATTGCTGAGTACTGGTTTTAATTTCAGCTGTTTCTTCTTTCTATAATTCCACGTGATTCTTTCTCCTAAACTTTAAATCATCTTCCCTGCACTTTCCTTTTTCCAGTTAGGAGTATATTTTCTACGTGATTGTCCTAAAAATAGAATCTGCATTAGGAGTGTGAAACTGCTGTGATAGAAATGACGAGGATTTCTACCTGTGGCTTTTTAAAGCCCGGCATCACTTTTAATTCCTTTATTTGGAAACTACAGTAGAGGTTTGTTTTCAATATTTCTGCGTGCTGAAGGCCTTACAGGATTCCAGGTTACGCATGAACTATTTTTAGATGATAGAAATTTCTCTTTGGCTCCCTCTTCATGCTATAAATGTAATCTGATGCTAATGCTGATCCCAAGATCACAGTTTAACCAGGAAGTACAACCTCACTTACTTGTGGGAAATTCCTTTGAGGCAAATAAAGCTTTACTGATCTCCACTGACACAAATTAAAATTGTAGGAGTTAAGCTAGCAGTGATTGTCAACAGTTTTCCTTTACATAATTTTCTTATCTGGTGCTGCAGCAACACACTTTCCAGTTTAGAAAGTGTCTATCAGCTGCTAATTAATTTTCAACATGCAGGATCAATAGAATGGTCTCCTATTCTGATTTTGAAGTTTGAGAGTTTTATAGCTCAAAAAGCTTAAAGCCAAAGGCTTTGATAAAATTCCTTGAAAAGTTTAATTCTCAGAAACTTTTCTGAATTCTCAGAAGAATAGAAGAGAGACTAGTATTCAGTGGTAGTGTTCATCAACAGTGGAAGAGAATAAAATCCTGTTTGCTTAGGGGAGAGAAAAGCTCCTGGTAGTAGACTCTGAACAGGTTTCAACTCGATTTCCTGTACTCTGTGAGGAATTCCAAAGTTCACTTGCCCTTTTCAGTGGCAGTTTCCTCATTCTTGCAAGTTTGGAGAGGGTTATTGCCTCTAGCCGTGTGGTAGACTCAGCTTGGCTTGGTTTGGTTTATTTGACTGGGTCACAATCAGTGTTGCTGCCCCTTTGGGCTTTTTACAGTGTTTGAGGAATGAGTGTGTCCTAGTCCTTCCTCTCTCACAACGCCCTCCTGTCTCTCCAGTTGTATCGCACTGTTGGGGAGGCAAGAAGACCCTTGAGGGAGGGGAGCCGCCTCAGCGGATGAGCGTACGTGGTTTGTGTTGCTCAGAATGTAAAGAGAGGAGTGGGATCAAGGATCATTTAATTCCTGTAATGTTGGCGGTACAGAAGGATGGGCGGGTTTCTTTGCAAACAAACTCGGAGGAAATTAATCCGCCCTTCCCTCAAGTTTACGCATTCCTCTCTGCTTGCTGGCTGATGTATGGTTTATTTACAGGTCAGCTCTCTCAACAATTTCTCCTCAGTGTGTAGCAAGCAGCATAATTTTCATAAGCAAAATGTAATGTAAAATAACATTGTGGAGTCTTTATGCCACATGTAGCTACCAGTTTCAGTTGTTTCGGATGTTTTAAAGTGAGATATAGATGTGCTGGCAGGACTGATGCTTGTAATTAATTTTATTGTCTTTTAATAATCTTTTTGTTTAGGCTATGCAAATGGAATTCATTATTTTCTGTGGAGACAACTTCTGATGAAACTTTTGAAGTGGCCTGAATCTGCTTTAGGGAGCAGACTGAGAAAATCAGTGCATGCAGAGGTCTGGGAGTAGAAAGGGAGGCAGTGCCCAGGTCCATTCTGTGATTATTAAGGGAAACCTTTGGGAACGGCCCATTAACCCTTGCATATCCCTCAAATTAATGTATTTTATTTGTGGCAAGATTCAAAATAAAGTTGATAAAAGCAGCTTACACCACACAGTAGAGCTCCTTAAAGTTATAGTTTCCAACAGAGCTGAATTACATGAAGGCTGGCTTGTAAGACCTTTATCACCTCAGATACCACGGTATCTTGTGAAAACCTCTTAGTTAAAATATATAAAGAAGATGTGTTTTTCTGTCTGTACTTTTATGCCAAAAGGATTGCTAATTCCAGACAACAGAAAACAAGAGCCACAAAATACAGGTTTATAGCGCCTTCGTGTGCCCTTTGATCTTTGAATTGCCACCTGCCTGGTCTAAATGTATGTATTAGAACTACAGGGTCGCCAGTTCTCTCAGATGTTTAGTGTAGTAGATGGTTTGGGCCTTTCTTACAGATTACCTTTTCAAGATCAAATTGTACAGGTATGTATAAAATCATGTCTGATGGTATTGGTTTTTCCAGGCTTTCCTGAAACCCAAAATTCAAATTATATTGCTCTCTGCCTTAGACAAACTCCTTCCTATTCTTCCGCTCATTGCTTAGTTATTCCACAGTAGCTGGGAAGAGTATTGCTTTATTTACTGCATTGAAAAATGATTTTACTTGCATTCATTGAAAAGCAATCATGCCACAGAGTAAGAAAATATGCTCAGTCCTCAATTGTAATCCCACTCCTAAATTACTACAGGTTCATTCATTTATCTGAAACCTTATACTAATCATCTGCTCTGGACTTGTGCAATGCCACCTAAATACT